CTGAATCTCTGGTTGGAAGCAAAAGAAGCAGAAGGACGCGCGCTGGGACTTCCCAAGGCCTTCGAACCACCCAAACAGCCGAAGAAAAAGGCGAACCCGAACAGGAAGCGCACGCGGCAGCTGGCGGTGGTGGCTACTCCGGCGGCCGCGAGGCCCAAAGTACCTGCGCTGGGATCCCGAATGAGATTGGGGACCAAGGCACCACCGCCTTTCTACTACGTGGGTCCTACGGACTTGGGTGAGGAGTCGGAGTGCGATGACGATGCGGTGGGCGACGAGAACCCACTACCTGGCGATGAACCAAGAGCAGACCTAATTCCACCTGCAGCTGGTGAAGGGTTGGGCGCGAAGGGGTCTTTGCGCAACAGAGAGGAGGTGTGGGGCTCGATCGCCGCCAACAGCGACAAAAGATTGTCAAAACCCCTCTGGTTACGCTCGGGGCTCGATTGCGTGGCATCTCACGGCCGAAAATGCATCCTCCTTGGGGCACCTATTTGGCAAGTGGGTCAGCAAGGTGGAGGACTATTTCAATGTTCTATTAGATGGTGAGGGGTTGAACAAGGGCGGCGAAGCTCAGCGTGGGAGAGGCATTGCCCGTCGGTTAGGATCAACAAAATTGTGCCTTCTCCTCCTTCTACACGGACTCGGGGCCCTGGGGTGGATTGGTGGGCCAAGATTGCCTTCTTGCTGGAGGAACTTGACAGGGCCACCTCGCGACGTGAGGCCCCCAGGTTCTGCGAGCTCATCAACAGACTGAGGGATGCGACAGCGAGCGCGCCCACTTCCACCCTGGCCTCTCTGCCGAGGAAGGAGAAACAGTCATGGTGCAGGAAACTTCGCATGTTAAGCTCTGCCACGAACGACGCCGTCCGCATATGCAGGGAGGACTGCAGCAATATTGCCAACCGCCTACAATGAATGGAGTGCTACTCACAATCTCATACCTTGCGTTCTCGCAATGGGCGGAGTTGCAGCGCATTGCGGCGCCCGGCAAACTATTCCGACTTGTCAAGGATAAGCCAACATCTAAGGACGAATTTGAGGACGGTCAGAATGACTCTTCCGATCCGCTCACGGCGATGGATATCAGAGCGAAGGTCTGGCGAAAGAAGTGGAGTGATCCTTCCTTGGATATCAAGAAAATGTCGCATCTCCTGAGCGCTGCGCGCGACCGCTTCCGCCCCCCCCCACCCCACCCCACTTTCGATTTGGAGACGCTGGGGGAGGGCGCCAGAAGGATGAAGGGTGCCTCGGCCAAGGGCGTCGAGCTGCTGGGTAAGAAAGATCTCGTTTGGCTTCCAGAGACGGCAAGTTGGAATTGGTGCAATTATTTCAACAGGTTGAAAGGAAGAGGTTGCCTGGCCTCGGCAGCTCACAGTCGCATTCGTGACTCTCGCGAGGAAACCTCCAGGTGGCGACAGGGCCATCGGGGTGCTGTCTAACCTTGCGAGGCTATGGTCCAGATGTCGAGGTGAGTGCCGTGCCAGCGACTCGTGAGAGAGCTGGGCATTGGGGCGCTGCCGTGGCAGGATCGCCTGCCTTACGCGAGGCTCTGATGCGCAGCTACCTGGACGAGACGGTGGCTCTATCTACGATTCAAGACTGGGTGCAGGTAAGTATGATGTGGGATATTGAAGGATCCAATGACGCACTCAAGTGGAAGTTACTGCTTGAATCAGGCCTGGAGCAGGAGCTACCTTTTGGTATTCTGGCTTTGGAGATGATCCGTTTCTTACGTAATAGCGGTTTACTACTCCGACGCCATCAGCCCCGGGAAGAGCATGATCGCGGGGTTGAAAGGCGCAATTGGTTTCTCAAGGTGTGCGTTGTACAACATGATTGACCGAGTTGCCCGAGGCACGTCAGGGGTGACTGCGCGGTCTTGGGTTGACGATGTTTCCCAGCGCGTGCAAGGGGGGTGCAAGAAGGCCCTCGGTCCGGCCTTGCAAGCAAGACTCACGTTCGCCAAAGGATGCGCCGACGCGGGTTGGGTTATTTTGATTAAACCTACCATCGTCACCAACCAAGTCGACCCGGGGAAAACACTTCAGAAGGGTGTTGCCAAATGACGCTTCACGGCCAAGATTGAGAGCACCGCCACGGACCTTGGCATCGAGCGGGGCACAGTTGGTTTCCGACCTCCTAAGCAAGCTCAGCGTCGACGGGGGGCGCAACATCTGTTCAACCTTGTCAGGCGCTTTGCAACAGGAGCTGTTCGGAAGAAGGTAGGTGCCAAGCTCGCTTTGATGGGGGTTCTGCCGATGGCCGACTACTCGGACAAGGTGTTCGGCGCGGCCCCCTCAGTTATCAACGGCTGGAAAAAGGCGCTCGGGCAGACCCTGGCCAAGACGTGGCCCGGTCGTTGCCTCGCCACCTTGCTGCAACTTCGAGTGGGGGGGAAGGGCCCGTAGTATCAAATCGTGCGCAGGCTGATGGAGTCGTGGATGGCTGTGATATTCAAACCTGGGTTCGATCTGGAATTGGCTCGGCGAACGCGGCGCGCGGCTAGGAGGAGGATCGACAACGGGCCGCAGAAAGACAGATGGCGTGGCATCACTAGTGTGGTCTCTGCTACGATCGCAACGCTTTTGGACACTGGCTGGGGCCCTGTGGGTCCTTGGGCGTGGATGTCAAATACTGGGGAGCGCTTCTCGGCGCCAGATAGCATCGCGGGTGCAGGGCCCCAGGACATGAGCGCCCTCGAAGACGCCATCCCGGACGCCATCGATAAGTCATTATGGGGCAAGGCTTCGAAACGCTGGAACGGCAGGGGCCTATCAGAAGGAGCTGATCCACGAGAAGCGCGTCGGCACCTCGCTCTCTTGCGGACAAAAGATGGACTAGAGGTGGCGGGTGCCATCGAGGCAGTCATGGCGGAGGCCTCTTGGACACGCAGCATGATGGCCACCCTGAGCAGCAACAAGCTGGACACCACGGACTGTCAGGGATGCGGTTGTGGCGAGGAGGAGACAGATCTCCATCGCAGGTGGACTTGCTCCTGCCGTGGCCTTTTCTTTACCATCTCTCAGAACCTTATCCGTCGTGCTCAGGAGGATCAGGGAGAGCTACCATGTCTGTGGCTTCGAGGGGTCTCACCTTCGCCTTAGACGCACGTGGACGAGCCGACTGATGCGCCGTATGACGAGGTTATGGGCAACAAAGATGTTATTCAAGGGTGCGGGCAACTACTTGTCGGTGGTGACGCGTCTGGTTGTGCTCAAACTGGAGACCCACGGCTTCGGCGGATTGGTTGGTCGCACCAAGTTATTCAAGTCCTCCGCGAACCTGCCTTGGATGTCAAGCTGTTGTATTCCCGAGGGGGTGGCACTCCCTTGAAACAAACCCTCAGCAGGGGGAGGCGACGGCTCTGCTCGGGGCTATGGGGGATCTCTCAGGGCTTGGGGTGCCCATCACTTGTCACGGACTCGGGCTACGTTGTGAAGGGCATCGCCAAACTAAACGCAGGTCGGCGCCCGACGATCAATTTGGACCCCTGGTTAAAGCTGAAGCAAGTTTTGCTGCCACATCCGTCACTGCTCAGTTGTCAAATTCGAGAGCCACATGTCGATTGAAAAGGCGTCGAAAGCTGGCACCAATGTTGGACATTACCTGGCCAATGCGATGGCTGATGAAGCAGCAGGCTTTTGGGCCGAGAAGCGCGCGGTTCCAAGCACGGTGGTTGCAACTGTGGAGCACGCTGAGGCGATGGGCAGAGCAGTACGGAAACACCTGGTCAAGGCTTCTTGGCAGCAGCGGAGGCTGAACCGAAGAAGCTGCGGCCAACGCGTTCTATGGCGGTGTGCTTTCGGCGTGAAGTCACGATGTCGGAACATCAGGTGTACACTGGTATGAGTGCGGCCTTCCATTGCTCTGCTTGTGGCTGCAGTGCCAGTGGTCGGAAGCTGGAGAAGTTCCTGGAGACACCTTGCCTGGGTGGTGTTGTCAAGGGCAGTACCCAGCGAGTTGGTGACTTTGGGGTGTTGGTGCAAGGTGAACCGATACATGAATCTCATCTGCTGGGGTACTTCAATGGCCTGCAGATTCACGCGTGCTTGAAGTGTGGCTGTGTCGGCAAGCATTTCTTGAGAAGACTTGCGGACGAGTGCAACGGTCATCTCGGGCACTATGGTTATCATAACCTGGGCAAACTGGCGCGTGGCACTAAGGACGTGCCATGATCACCCGCAAGTCGCCCAGTACTAGCAGCTTCTAACTCTATTCCAGCTGCTACTTTTACTTTCAGGTCATGTTGATCGATGGGGGCCGCTGTGGTTTTCATGGTTTTGGCCTCCACCTCGAGCGGCCTCGGCGTGCAGTTTTGCTGGGGGTGGCCCTCCTGGGGCCCCAGCCATGTGCTTCGCCGAGGCGCTCCTTTCCTGGGGGTGGTCCCACTTGGGACCCCAGGTGGAGCCGTGGAGTACGGTCCTCTGTCTTGGGCTTGCTGGCGTGTGGCATTCTTCTGTAGGGACGTGTCATGGTTCGCAAGGAGCCCATACCAGCAGCTCTAACTTCTTCTGCTCAGCTGCTACTTTTACTTCGATCATTTTGTCGTTTGGAAGTTACTGTGGTTTTCATGGTTGCAGCCTCCCTTCCGAGGACGGCCTCGGCGTGCTGGTATTGCTGGGGTTGGCCCCCCTTGGGACCCCAGTCAGGTGCTTCGTCGAGGCTACTCCTGGGGGTGGCCCCTCCTGGGACCCCAGGTGACAGTCGCGGCTGAGCGGATGCCAGTCCTCCTCCCTCCTCCTTTCCTCCTCCTCCCTTCGCCTCCCCTTCGTCTCGCCTCGGGCCTCGGCGCGGTGCGAAGCGACGGGCGGCCCGCGGAGTACAAAATACTCCTCCTCCTCGTCCTCCTGTCGTGGCACCTGCGACGAATGCAACGCACACACACATATCTATACATATATATATATATACAATTCCACCAGCGATTGTTAAAGGTCCTCTAAGGCATTTTGTTACACCTGGGATCACGCTCACATCTGTTGGCGGTCTGCCTCACGCTAACGAGCGACGGCCGCTTGAGCCTGCTCGCCCCAGGCGGCAGAAGTGGTGGAGCCGTGCATGTGGCCAACGGAAGCCTGCACTGATGGAAACTGTGAGTGTGCTGCACACGTATTGGCGGCGCGCAGAAGGGGGTGGGCCGAGCGGGGCAGCGCTTCAAGTCACGGGGCTTCCTCTTAGACGCCCTCCTTCCTTCTGAGAGGCAGGCCTTCGACCCTCTCTGAAACGCCCCCCCCTGCACTCTCGGAAGGCCCCCCCTCGCACCGTCCCTTGCTGCGCGCCGCTGAGCCGAAGCTGCGCCACAACGGGGACAACCCGACTATTGCTCGCGCAGTCCCCAGACGTCCGGCGCTCCAGTTCTTTCGATGCACGGGCCCCTGGAGGTCTGGACAACTTTCCCAAAACTTCTGTTGCGCCGAATCGTTCTGAACGGTCCCGGGGCCCGGGCATGGCCTCCGGGGGCGAACACGTAGCCTCACACTGGCCGTGATCTTGGCTGAAGCCTCGGAGATCTGGGTCAAGAAGCAGAGCGGCACATTTGTACACATGGCGGTGGGCAGTCGAAAACACGGCGGCACCGCGGCTCGCGCAATCAGAAGCATTGCCGCTCTCCGCGGCGCGAGGACGCCGAGTGCCCGTCGGCCCCTCGACGGTCCCTGGCCCCATAGGAGGTTCGCTGGAAGCTCACCGTGCTGCTGCCTCTCCTCCGTCCCCGTCCCTCCCCCGTCTCTCCTCCTCCCCCTCCCCCTGAGGCACTGAGGCGCTGAAGGTCTGTGAGTCCCCCCCCCCTCTCCTCCTCAAACCAACTTTCATCGTATCTGGGGTTGCGAAGGAAAGAGCAAGCATCCGATTTACGAGCTGGGCGACGAGTTTAGTCATCAAACTTGTTCTAAAGGCGAGGCGGAATAATGCTTCTGGACCAGGGGCTTGCTGCCGCAAAATTGGGTTCGTGTCGAAGCTCCTGTCCCGGGAAAGCTGGACTCGTGCTGATTCCGATTTCTCTGGTTTGGGAGAGGGGACCGCCGCGAATCCCTGGTTCATTTTCGGGGGCGCCAGCGGAGGCAAGGAGACGCACCACCCCAGGCGGCCCCAACATCGAATCGATAAGCCGGATCGGGTCGACCGGAGCATCGAATCGGCAGAAATCGGCAAAAACCGGCAGCCAAATCGAAATCGGCTGAAATCGGCAGGTCCGAACCGGATCGAGTCGGAAACCGGACCGCGTCAAGCCGGATCGGAATCGAAATCGGATCCCCCCCTGGGTGGGTGGGTGGAGGTTTTAAACAAGTCCCCTGGAACCAGCACTTGCAACGTGATCGCTGCATTAATTACATATGCTCGTGCGTGATGTCGACGCTTCATGATTGACCGTTGAGATGGAGTGAGGTGCGCGCGCAGATGATGATGATGATGATGATGAGGATGATGATGATTTTTCCTCAAGGACCGACGGCACTGAGAGATGACAACCGACGCAGTAAGTCCAGTCCAGACCATCTCTCAAGATGGGAGCTAAATCAATAATTAAAAACTTCCTGCAGCACAACTGCTAAACTTCCACTGAGTGCATACCCTGAGAGAGAGGGGGGGCCGATCAGACGCTAAGCCCGTGGCCATGCGACGATCGAGGAAAACAGACCCTGCCCTCACCAAAACCTCTCTCCAGAGAGCAGGCGGGGCCTTGCGGTGCTTCATCGGTAACCTGGCGGCAGCAAACTTAAAGAGGAATAGTCGGCGGCCAATGCAGCTGAAGCAAGGCTTGTCACTTGCAACAGCCAATGGACGGCGCAATAAGCACTGTTTGGGAAAACACGGGCCGCGCAGAGGACCCCAAAAGGAGCAAAGAGAGCGGCTTTCGGGGAACCCCGACACGGGCATCAGCAGAGAGCGAGGCCAAGCCCGCTGCCCCCAGCGGGGCACGAGGAGAACATAGCAACAAGACGACATAATGGTACATGTACAGCATACGACTCCGCAGGTCCCAGAAGGGACAGTGAGCCGCAAGCCCCAGGGGGGCAAAGGTACATAAGACCCTAACTAAGAAGAGGCGGACCAGGCACGAGCAACCTGGGGGCGTCGCCGAGTGTGCAAGCGGATGCGGCCTTTGAGAAGATCCATCGGCGACGGCCTGGACCCCTCACGGAAGCCAGCTTGGACAAAGAGAAATCCATCCCAGAGGCTCGCGCAGATTAATCGCTGCTCAAAAAACGGAGGATGGGGCAATAAAGGTTAAACATCGGAACCAGGACTCTTCGCTAAAAAAGGATGGAGGCAAGGGGCGAGAGCTTAACTCAGCCGTCGAAATCCAGGACATACCGCATAGTGCTCCATCGAGTCGCTGGCCCCAGGGGCGCCACAGTTCCAGCAGCAACCGATAGGCCCATGATGAAATCTAGCACTGGCACAGACACCCCTCGCCAGGACACGTAAGACCGCGAGCCCCAGATAGAGAGAACTTGCCCTGCAAACCTTGCGGACAACCTGAACGGCGGCAGAGACTTGGGCGACTGAGACCCCAGGGGCCATCGGACCACCCGGGCGTGAAGGCAGCGGATAGGAGAGATCGGAGGAGCACGGGCACGAAGGATCCGCGTGAGCTTCTTTTGAAACCCCGAGGCCTGAAGAAAGCCAGCGCGCAGGTGGATGTGCCCACTCCACATGCCAATAAGAGACCGACAGAACGTGTGCTGCCACCAAGGATGCCGCATCCGAGCAGGGTGGAAATCGCCCTCCTGGGAAAGACCAAGAATCTGACCACGGATTCGCGGGAATACAGCACTGTTGTGGGCAAGACGAACCTGAGCAGCAATACCGATCTGGGCCAGATCAGGGAACTCCAACGAGAAGCCAAGGTCGCACATCCTGGTACACATCAGTCTGTTGAAGGCAAACCGAGGACCCGCCATGGGTTTCTGTTGCATGTTCCCTTCGCACTTCAGAACCGCCGACGACGGAGGATAGAACTGCATCTCATACCTGAGAACAGAGACGGCAAATCTCACATACGTTCTAATAGTCATAGCGAGCCCAATCCAAAGTCTCCGAATCTCAATGCAACGCTGATGCAATTTCTGCAGAGCCGTGCCCCACGCGTGCTTCCAACCTTCTGGACCAGTCTGGATCCCAAGATATCGAGCATGCCGAACCAACCCGATGGCATCTGCCCCATTCCCAAGACTAGCGAGCAATCTGCGAATCAGTCGAGACGAACGCGGAGAAAGGCTCAGACCACAGTGGATCAGTACACACTTCTTCATGTTCAGAGCAAGCCCAATCCCAGGATGCAGACGCTGGAGGAGCGGGAGAAGGACCGGTATATCAGCATTCACATCCCGAAGCCCAAACCACAAATCGTCAGCATATGCCAAGATTTGCCGAGGGAGACGACAACAAAACCGGCGAATGCACGGGTCGAGAGCGAGAGCGAAGAGCAGCATGCTGGACGGGTCCCCTTGGCGAACACCCCGTAGCAGGCGAATCGCTCTGTGACGCTTCCCACCCAAGCATGCGGTCCCCAAGTTATCGGAGTACAACGACTCTAAAAAAACCAACAACTCCAGGAGGAACATCCATCAGGACCAACACCCGAAGGAGCCGGGAAATCGCAATGCTCGGAAACGCAGCAGCAAAGTCGGTCAGGAACATGCAAGCCAGGTCCCTCCCTGTCATACACTGCAGCGCCCCCCCAACACTCCGCCTCAAGAATCTGGTCTGTCATAGACCTCCCTCGAATGCAAGCCTGAACCTCGTGAACACACTCACGCGCCTCTTTCTCCACTTGGGAAGAGAACGCCACAGACATTATCTTACAGTCAGCGTTGGCCATGGCAAGGGGACGACATGCATCAGGAGACCGCGAGGGGCAGGCAGTGAGATCCGTCGGATTCTCCCCCTCGGCTTGAAAGACAAGAATCATTTCACGCATGGAAGGCGACATGTCGCGAGCACGATGGTCAAAGAGATGGCAGTAGAGATCATGCAGGATGGCAATCGGGATGGGGGACTTCCAGCAAGAGTAAACAATCCCATCAGGCCCTGGCATCGAATCGCGTCGCCCCCTCACCAGTTTCTCAAAGTCCTCAATGTCGAGCCGCCACTGAGCGCCAGGAAAGGGGGCGGACAGGAGAGATGTAAGCTTCAAGCTCAGGCCAGAGAGAAGTGTCGCAATCGAACTCACCAAAGACCGTTTCCCAGTGCCGAGCCAGCTCCTACCCCGCCTCCTCAATGGTGCTGCGCGGGGTACCGCTAAGAAGTCCAGTATAGTCCCCAGAGAAATCCGTTTCTGAAGAGGCCTCCAGAGCTCACGACGCCTTTGTAGCCTGGAACGCATCCGAGCCTTAATCTCCAAATCAGTCTCTTTGTCAGCTTCCTGCTCTAACCCGGTCAGCCGAAGGTTCTGGGGCGACTGGATGTGATCACAAAAGCGCAGGAATATTCCGACAGGTGAGATGGTCGATCACGAAGAAGCGGGACAGGTGAGAGCAGCAAGAGATGGCAGAGGAGACTCGCTGTGCATGCCGTGCGCGAAGACCCCTCAACGCAGCCAATGAAAAATGAATCTTCTCATCTGCAGTCCGAGCGACTTGATGGGGGAGGAAGTAACGAGTCCGCTTGCAAGCCTCAAACATACACCTCTTGACCACGGCAACCTGATCATTAATATGTGCAGTCCGATCCATTTCACACAGGAGGGCTTCAAGCTCAACATGAAACCGCGGGTGCTTCCCAATCCACGGAGGGATAGAGGGATTCTCAGAAGGCTGGTATTTCCGAAACGTGGCCAGTACAGGAATGTGGCCAGAGACATTCTGCGTCGTCGTGGCTCTGCCAATAACCGAGCACGTGATGGATCGGTCAGAGAGAACAGCAGTAGGAGAGGCAAGATACAGACGGTCGAATCGGCTCACGTGGCTGATTCCCCCATTGACAATCTCACGAAGGGTAGGATCTGGCTGGTGGACCTCAGTCCAACGAGGGAAGAAAGAGTGAAACATATCATGCCTATATCGATCTCCAGGCCTCCACCCCGATCCATCCCCGCACTGGCGGCCATCCTCCTCGAGGGCGAAATTGAAGTCCCCACCAATCATAAACAGAGCATCAGGAGCCCCCAGAGCGTTCCGAATCAGCCTCAGAGACCTCCGGAATGCCCACATAGGCTCCCCCGAGGTAGGCAGGTGTACATTAAGGACCCAGAGAGCACCCCGTCGACCATTGCATTTAGAGACCAGTATACGGCCTTCATCAATACTGAAATGTCGTATGTCCGTGAAGAGAGCGCAGAGAGCAGGGGAGATCAACGTAATCACACCACCAGCAATGTCAGAGGCATGCCCTGATAATCCAATCGACCAACCTTGCAGATCTGCCTGGAGTGCTGCTGCATCACCAGCTGTGCCATGGGTCTCTTGCACACATAAAATACTGGAACGCCGAGACAATCCCAGAAGCTGCTTGTACCGACGAGAGGCCCTCAGAGAGGAGCGGTGAATGGAAGCGAAGAGTCCCCTAGAGTTCCATGTGAGCAAAGACAGAGAGCAAGAGGGAGGCGGGGAAAAGGGGAGCAACGATTCAGCGGGCAGACCCCCACTGGACGAAGAGG